AAAATGTGACCAATCAGGAAAGTTATTTTTGTGAGAAAGAAGAAAAATGTCACCAAACAGGGTCAGCAGATAACCCGATTGGGCTGAAAATAACTGCCCGGCTGGCAGACCAGCGAGGGAATGGGCGGAGGGCAAGAGACGTGATGCCAAGCTCCAAGGGAGCTCCAGCTGAGCAAAGCTGCTGGGGGATGAGGAAATTGGCCTAATTTGGGAACATGAGCCCAGCAGCATTTTTGAGATTCCTTCGAGGGAATCTGGCTAACTTTCAGTTCTGAGGCCTTGGAGGAACACCGAAGGGATGCGGGGGAGAGAAGGGAAACAGCTGTGACTCCAACACTTCTCCAGACAAGTGGATGAATAAGGGAGATCAAGTGAGGAATTACTCCCTCTCCAAGAGGATTCCGAGAGAGAACAACCCAAAAATCACTCTCTCCAAAAGCCGTTCTCTACCGGGAGGTCTGTGTATCAACCTAGCTAGGAGGTGGGAGAGGTTAGGCGGTGGTCAAGTGCCCGGCCAGGGTCGGAGAAACTAGAGTCGGAGATTAACTCAATGACTCTGGGCAAGTCACCCAGCATCTCAAAGTCTCCGTGTCTTTAGCTAAAATCAGATAACAATAGTGCCTACTTCATGAGCTGCCATAAGGCTTAAATAGGGTATTGCGGGTAGCTAACAGAGAGGCAGCAACTGCTGCAATGTCAGCGAAAATCGTATTCATTAATAAAAGGACAATCTGAAAAATAAAAGCTAAATCACAAAAAAGTCTAGACCCTCGTGAGAAATGCTCACCCAAAAGAGGCCAGCCTTGGAGAGGATACGCCCAAGATTATTTTTCTCCATCATTGGTGTATGACAGTGTAACTCTATGGTAGAAAATGTCGAGTCTTTTCTTGAAGGGGCTGTATATAAGAGCGGCATCATTTGAATCGATAGGAGGCGAAAGTCAAGCAGGGAAATCCAGTTCATTCTCAGAGTTGGTTTCCACAGAGAAAGTTATACACTGCAGACAAGTGACACTCATCATAAAACCATCTTCTGGTAAAACTCTCAATAACTGTAATGCCAACCTGAATTGCTAACTGAAATATGTACCTGGTGACCCCAGCCTGAGTTGTGACAGGTGGCCATCGGCAACCAAATTCAACACTAACAGACACACAGGGATGGCTGAAAATCAACCCATCCTAGAAGAGCAGGAGTTTGAAACTCCAATGGAAATAGGAGCCAGGCAGATCAAATGTGAGTAAATCTGACCAGGCGTATTAAAACAGGCAGTGGCGAAAGGGAGGGGGCAGGCCGCGTGTCAGCGAGCCCTGCTATCGCCCCGGCCAGCTGTGTGGGAGCGCCAGTCCGGCACGTCCACTGTGTCAACACTTCTGATTTTAAAGAGCAGCCCAAAATCTGGATTTTCACACGAGGTTTCCTAACTTATACATGATAACGATTGAGTAAAAAAAATAAGCTCTGTCCAGGTCAAACAACACATGACGGTATGCTAAATTCAGCCTGAAGACCAATCGTTTTCAACCTCAGTAGAAAGAGTTAAGGCAAACTAAAAAGAACCCCCAAGCTCTGGAGAAATGATGGTTAGCAGCACATTGAGCATTTATATGTCAGACTGCATTAAGGGCTTTACATCTATTACCTCATCTTTCCTTTCTAGCCACCTGTATGGAGTATTAATATCCCTGTTTTACCAATGAGAAAACTGAGGCTTAAAGAGGTTAAGTAGCACGCTCGGTCAGCGTCACAGAACTAAGGTGCGGCAGAGCCGGGATTTGCGCCCTGGCCAGTAAGACCCACCTGTACAACCCCAAGACTCGGGCTGCCCACGGCACCCAGGAAGCACAAAAAGTGCTTTGGGTCCCTACTGGTCAACCTATGGACAAATGAGGAACGGCCCTGAAGAGCCTTCCAAATCAGTTCTAAAAGAAGCCCAAGATTATATCCTCCTCCTTTGCTGCTCTTTACCAAAAACAGCAGAGCACTGTCCAAGTACTCGTTTACCCACTCGTTTGTTGAATGAACGAACGTTTGAGCCACGCTTTTCAGTTTACTAAAGTGCTCTTAAATGCATATTTCACTTAATCCCCACACAAATCTGGTGGCATTGTTACCACCATTTGACAGATAATAAAATGAAGGATTAGAGAGATTAGTGGACTAGTTCGAGATCCAGGCAATTAATTTACAGAGCCATCACAGCCCTGGGCTTCCGATGCCAAGTCCCGCGTTCTGTCTGTTGCAGCAGACCCCTTCTCTGCTTCCTTCCCCTCAGCTCCCAACTCCCCCACCCCGATTTCAAATAATTTGCCTGAACTAATCCCTACTTAACGCTAAAGTAACTCCATCATGTCTGACAGCCCCCGGGTACCATATTTACGTTTTCATGAATAGCTTCATCCTAGAATATAGTCAGCGAGAGGACAAAAATAAATCTATCAAGTAATACGCTCGGAATGTAAATGGGCACACACACAAATCTTAGGATCTAATTTTAGAAAGAAACAGCCAAAATGTCCCACACAGCACAGTGAGCATCTGGCCTGGGGGCGGCTGCCCACACTGCTTTAAACCTCAATTAACCCAGGGAAGGAATCCTGGGATCCTGACTGGCATTTCGCTGTCAGAAGCACCAACTGGGTGAAGAAGAGAATGACTTTCATCATGTTCTCCCCAGAAAATGCTAACGCCCAGAGTTTAAAAGATGAAAATGTCTCTAAGGAAATAAGTAGGTCTTCTAGAAAGGCTGAAACCCTAACAGGTTCTTCATGGGCTGCGACTCTGGATCTCTCTGTGCTCACAGAGCTGGCTCCCGCCTGGGAGCCCGGGGGACGGGTGCGGGGAGGTGAACAGCACTGACTGGCCCCAGCCCAGGGGCTGACTGGGTGTGTGGGTCACACAGGGCTCCAAGGCCACCCGTCATTCCAGGACATCCTGGCCCCTCACAGGTTCACTCACCTGCCCACCATTGGTTAGAACTTCCTTCACACTTAAGTATACCTGTCGTCAGTCTCTCTAACTGCCAGTAACAACAAGAATGTAAGTTCCATTATGGCAGGGAATCTTGCCTCTTTTGTTCACTGAGATACGCCAGCCCCTAAAATGGCACCTGCACACAGGAAGCTTCAATAAATATTTGATGAATAAATAGGGGATCTTGTATTGGGATGGCTCTTCCTAGAAGCAGAGTCAAAAGTGGCCAGAAGCCAAGGAGAGATTTCCATTAACCCAGTTATCCGTTTGTCCATTTTCTCAAGATGGACACGACTGCAGTTCACGCTTCCTGAGGTCCCGGGCGGGGGCAGGTGCGTCTTCTTCCACTGCCCTCCTACGTTACACCCCACCCCCGACTGTGCCCCCAGTTTTCCCCTGCGGGCCCACCCTTGGCGCTGGGACAGGCCTGCTCAGCCGGTAAGGGCCCCCGCCGCACACTGTGCACGTCACCCCCCATCCTCTGCAGTGCCAAACGCACGCCGGTCGGTGCCGGGCACTGCGATAAACAGAAGCGCACAAAGGTAAGACCCAACCCCCGCCTTCCAGAAGCTCACACCTGTTGCGGGAGCCAGACACATAAGCTGTTACAGCACAGTGTAATAAGCGCTGTAATGGAGGTGCCACAGCCAGCGTCACACACTGACAACGCCCAGGCCTCATCTAAGCTATACATCAATATTAATTCTTATAATTAGTTACTAATCTCTAAAGATGTGTTGCTTTCACAAAACACTTTAGACTGCCAACATCTCTCACAGTCAGAGGCTCTGGCAATACTGGGCCTGTGCCCCCCACAGCACCAGTCAGCTCTGTCTACGGAGTGGCTGCCCCTTTAGAAGGGACACCCGGCCTCCCGATCCCGCAATGCCCCCGCCTGCTCCCTCCCTAGTGTTTGCACGCAATGGGGCCGGGGCCAGGGGCCCGCTGCCAGCGTTCCATACTGGCATGGCTGGCGTCTTAGGTCCAGAAATGATTCTCTCTACCTGCATTGCTACAGAAAGTGAGAAAATGAAAATACATTGAAAGGGCCATGTGGAGCACTTGAAGAAAAACTTAACTTCCTATAAAAATGACGAATATTCCTCTATGTGTGATATGTAAGCAAAGTGTGTCGGTGTCTTGTCCCCTGCATGCGGTGCCCATGCACCTTCCTGACGCATAAGGCTTCTCAGTGACATCCTCTCATCTGCTCCAAACCTACTACGGGCCCACAAGCTAGACAGCTAAGAAGCCACGATTCCTGCAGTCTGAGAACTCACCGTCTAGTGCTGCCAACAGACACAGAAAATGAAAATTAGCAGAGAATGTGAGATGTTCTATAATAGGTACTATGGGAGTTGAGAGGAAGAAGCCCCACGTCAGCCCAGAGAAAAGCTGACGGAGGTGGAGGAGGGGAGGGTAGCCTAAAACTAACTCTTGAAAAGGGCAGTTTTTCCAAACGGACAGAGGAGGGTGAAAAGCGGCTCTGAGTGAACGGCCGAAAATAGTACCCTGGCATTAAAAGTATTGCTCATCAGGATTACCCACCCGCCTCAAAGACGCTGGATCGATTCCCATAATTCCAGGCCGCTCAGAGGAAAAGTTTCCAGGAAAGTAAGGCCCGTCCTGATCCCCTTCCTGCCTGAAAACTGTAGAAAGTGCAGGACACCACCGAAAGCCAACGTCCAGTTGTGTAATCTAACTTTCTGTCACCAGCATGCCTCACTGGCTTTATTCAGAGGAAATAAAAACTTGGATTTTGACTAGATTTTGAAACTTCCCAGTCCCTTGTTTCAGCTAATGTAAGAAAGTTCTTCACTGAGCATATAAAGCCATGCACAGAAACTACTCTAGCATCAAAGATAAACGTTTCTTCTTCATCTCTAACAGGCCAAATGCCAAGGAAGAGAATTCCCAAGTCAAGATAGAAGAGCTGACATTAAAGAGAAGAAATATGGAATATCAAATCTTTGCTTATTAAGTAATCGTTCACTTTTAGCATTTCTTCAGATTTTTCAACACCTACCTCTCCAGTCAGAGTTGAAGAATTCTTGCCATTAAGGTGGTTCTCGGCTTGAGCTGACTCCTGTTGAGCTCGGCGACCCATCTTGGCCCCCTGTAAGGAGAAATAAGGGGCACTGCTGACCCAAACATCTTTTAGCCACTACGAGGGAAAGAATTGTGGGATGGTAGGCAAGCAACTGGATTTATGAATACACGGTGGAAGGTGGGATTTGAGTAATTTGAATATTCTTAGAAAATGCTCCAAACCCTAAAAGCAACCAAGGTCAGTTCTATTGGGTTGGCCAAAAAGTCCTTTTAGTTCTTCTGTAAAATAAAAGATGTATTTTTCATTTTCACCAATAACTTTATTGATCTGGATATATTGAGTGTGTCAGCTCTCTCCCACTATTGGCTTCTGGTGGGTAGAGGCCAGGGCTGCTGCTAAACATCTTTCAATGCTAAGACAGCCCCACAGCAAAGAATTATTTGGCCAAAATGTCAATAGTACCAAGAAACTTCACAAACCCCCAATTTTGACACGTTCGATCACAGCACCTTTTCCATTCACTGCACAAATCTTTTCTTGCATTTCTACCTTGAAATAATAAAGCATAATTTGCCAAAAATGTTGCATATCTTCTTCCATCTTCAACATTAAAATGGCTACACAAAAATGTACCGATTTTGGGTTTTTTTTAATTGTATGCTGATATGACAGCTGTCACAACACAATCTAACAAAATTGTTTCAAATGAAGGTAAAGACAACTGCAAACTACTAGAGCCATCGTAGGGGGAAAAACCTAAAGGAAATTTCTGGCTAACCCATTATTTGGAAGAAGAATAGGAAATTCATGGGTTAGTGATCCTAGGGTTTTTGTTTAACTGCCATAATCATTTGTACCCAAAGCAATGAAGATAGAAATTCCTCTAAAATGGGCAGTGACCTCATGCCACAGTTTAAGGAAGAGTGTGGTAAAGGCTCCTAGGTCCCTACGCAGGGTTTTCAGAAGGCCTATTTTCAAAGCTGCAGCTTGACATGGAGTTACCAAAAAGGAGTGTTGGTGATGCCCTGGCCAGTGTGACTCCATTGGTTGGACCACTGTCCCATACACCAAAAGGTTGTGGGTTCGATTCCCAGTCAGGGCACATACCTAGGTTGCAAGAAGCAACCAATTGATCTTTCTCTTTCTCTGTCCCTTCTCCTCTCTCTACAATCAATAAGCTAGTCCTCAGATGAAGATTAAAAAGAAACAAAAAGGAGTTTTGGAAAGAATTCCTAATTTCCATGGTAACTGCCATCAGAGAAATACAGATAGCACTTATTTTAATGTGCAAGCTGTTTGGATTTCCATTTATGACAAGAAAAGAAATCTTTTACAAGAATTTTGAGACCGGGTTTGGAAATCAGAACACTTCAAATTCTGAGTCTTCAAATGGACCATGTGCAGGCTCTGAATCCCAAATGCTCCCCAGCACATAAAGAAAACTTTACCTAGGCAGACCAAGGGGTGTTAAAATACTTCTATATTTATTTGTTAGCTTTAAAAAAGAAAGCATTAATATAAATACTTTTAGACCTCATTTGATATAGCTTTATTTGATTCTCGGAATAACGGAGACCAGGACTTTCATTTTACAAGTGAGGAAACTGAGGACCAGGAAGTCAATTAAGCAGCAGACATAAATCTAAGAGCAAAATCTTCTTGTCTTAAAATCCTGAGTTCTTTCCATTATCTTACCCTGGAATTTCAGTTTTAAGATGTTCTAAGAACTGACTGCACCAATAAATTGATTGGGGGTTACATGGGAGCTTCACAAAAACCTTTACGGAGTATTTACGTCTCAAGTTTTATTCGATCATTTAGGTTTCAGGTACGATGGAAACTCTCTCTCTCTGATAATAAGAGGTTCACAAGGCAGACAATTCCATCCCTTCCCCTGTAGCTACCCTACCCTTTTGCATTTACCACAGCAGGACATCTAAATCTGGCATACTACAATGCAGTGGTTGCGCTAAGACAAAAATTCAGTGCTCCTGCCTCTACGTGCTGTTTACAGATGATTTCACTAGTAATTATTTTAAAATTTTTGAAGACCTTGTATAAATCCACAGGTATGGACGGTAGAAAAATGACTTCACTACCTGATTTTATATATCTTAAATTTATAGTGTATTTATTATCCATCTTGCCCTACTGGAACGTAAGCCCCATGAGGGGAGGGACTTCGTTTTATTTACTGCTATATCGCCAGCATCTAGGATAATGGCTGATACACAGTAGGGGTCAATAAATATTTGTTGAAAGGATGGATGAAAAACTACATCCATATGCCCAGGGACTAAACAAGTTCACGTATCAGAAAGGCCTGGTGACTTAATATTCTCCTTGGTCAGTCAAACAACCTGCTTCCTCCTAGAATAACGTGCTCCTTCCTGTCCTTCACATCTTCCTCAGAGAGGTGCTTTTATCCAGTACCTTGAAGGACATCTGTCGCTACCGGGCATTTCAGAAATGAAACAACAAAAAAACAAACAAAAAGAAACAAAAAAACCGGAGATTCCACCGCGTTAAATAAAGATGTGTTCTGTGGCTCAACCTTTTAGGAAATGTGACCTTGGCAATTTTAAAGGTAAAAATCCTTGATGGGGCTGTGATGGAGTCAAAACAAACCAAAAATCACCGAACTTGAGCCTGGACTCTAACTTGGTTTACTGCTGGCTGCGTAACCTTGCGTCAACCACAGCCGCAGAGCATCAGCAGCTCACGCCTTCTAATAACTCAGCCTCAGCCAGGCTCTGTGTTAAACGCTTCTCCGTTCGTCACCCGTTTCCTCGTCACTGCAACTTCTTAAAGTAGACAGCAACAGCATTCTGGAGATAAGGAAACCAAGGTTCCCAGAGGTTCACTTTTTTTTAACCCTCGCAAAGGCTTTATATTCCATCTGACCTCTGGGCCCCAGCACCTGGCCACTCCACGGCACAAACCTGCGTCTTGATGTTCTTAGCTATAAAAGTTGAGGCAAAGCCCACCTCCCCTTAGCGGTTACGGGCACAGAAGGAAGGACACCCCAGGCTGCGCCCCCGGCTGCCCCGGGGGCGGGGCGGATGAAGCCACCGCCTCCTCTCCCACCGCCCCGCCGAGCGACTCGGGCCCGCCCGCTCCGGCCGCTAGGGACGGGCCGCACGGAGGCGTCTCGGGGAAGCCTGGGCCGGCGGAGTCGCTCCTCCCCGCCCTCCAAACTCCGGCCCCAACCCGGCCGCGCGTCGGTCCTCACGGAGGTGGCCGGGCCCCGGCGCCGCTCCTCGCCTAGGTCCAGCAAATCCTCCATCTCGGCGACCGCCTGGCGTCACTTCCTGGAAACCTAGCGGCCCCGTGGCGTCCCTGACGACGGCCCCGCCCTTCCGCCCCAGTATTTAAAGGGTCGCGGCTTCATTCTGAATTCTCCATGCCACCCTCCAATTTAAACATTTCGTAACCCTGCCTCAGTTGACTTCCGGAAGATACCTCCAGGCCTGACGTCTCGCTAAGGGTGCTCCTGTGAACAGTGGAAAAACAGTTGTCCCTTTTAAAATACATACGTTATTAAGTGCAAAGCACCACTACTAATAGTAGTAATTATTCTGATCGCTCCCATTGTATTTAAAGTGCACAGAGGGCCTTCACAATTATTAACTCATGTGAAGGGCATAACAACCTTGCGTGGGAAGCAAGGTAAGTTGTATTATCTCCATTGGACACATGAGAAAACAGGCTACAGCGGGTCAGATGTTAATGGTTTACAACAGAAAATACAATATACGTAATCTCTGCTTCAAAAAATTTGCAGAGAGGCTGAACCAAAAAACATCAAATACCTGAGTAGTAATAACTTTCAAAAGTCAAATAATTCCTCCAACGACCCATAAAGTAAGCAGTAGCAATATTCAACGATGTGACAATTGCGGACACAGGTGCCAAGAGATGGCTTGAGGAAAATCATTAAGCAGAAGAGCCAGGTGCCTTTCTGACATCATCATATCTTATGGGAGGATTTTTCTTCAGTATATATTATGGGGTGCCAGCCATTCTCCTAGGCCAGTAGAGGAAAAGATCCCCCAATATTCAGGGTGGGGGAGAAAGAAGTTTTCCTCTGTCCTAGGTTCTTTCAGCTAGTCTAACAATCAAATCGACATGAGACAGATTACCATAAGAAAATAATCAAATTTAATTACATAAGTATGAGAACTCCCCATACATGAGACAGTCCGAGACCCCATATATGTGAGAAGTTCAGAAACAAAAAAGGGACGATAAGGTTCATGTGAAATTCTGACCTAAGGATGAAGTAAGACACCTTGGGACTTCATAGGGGACAAACGTCATTTGCAGGACTAGAAGAGCAATGTTCAGCAGTTAGAGGTTTGCCCTGCCCTATAGATAGACAGATACAGATATAAAAAGTTATTTCTGGTGATAATTCTTGTTATGGGTAAGGCCTCTAATTTAAATTCTTTAAGGGAGAGATAGAAGTTTATCATGAGCCCACTGGGTCTCCACTGTCTTCAGCTCAAAATAATTCACATGTCAAAGTGGCACATTTGGGAAGTCCTGTTCTGAACCCCCTCACCGGCTTAAGGGGCAAGCGAGTTGAGTTTTCATCGACTCCCCATATAAGATCCCCAAGCCAACAACACTGGCTCTGTCGCTGACACTGGTCACCTGGGACTCCCAGATGATGGGCTCGTGGCCCCGAAAGTGAGCGATGTTTCCACTATCACCCTTGGGGTAAGGCCTAGATGACCACTGCCTAAAAGGAAGGACACGGAAGTGTGAGTAGCAGCCCTAAAACTAGAGCATTTCTTAAATACCCAGTAAATGGCTCAGTTCAATCATTCATCCACACGTTTACTGGGACGGACTGTGACAGAAACAGCATTGCTGGGACGCAGGAGAGCTGCGGTCCCTCCGAGCTCTGCGGGTAACTACCTGTGCAGCCCGGCAGAGCCTCTCCGGGCCTCAGTCCCCGCCCTTGTACTTACTCTTCCAGATTACCCCTAAAATCTTCTACTTTCTAACTCTGATTCTCAGGGAGAATAACCTATTAGGTTTTAATCTGAAGAAATATTTATTGCCAAAAACCCAAGACATGAAATACAGGCTCCAATGAATCTCTTGTTCCTTTTTCTTCCTTGGCACAAGAAGAGGAGGAAGGAATTAATCTTTGTGTTTTTTGTTCATTTCTTGTGAGCTCATAGCCATACCACCACCACCACTTTATAACCAGTGTCCAAACCTTCACTCCCACTTCTTCCCCAGCTTCCTGAAAGCAAATGTGAATCGCAGCTCACTCTAGGCAGAAAGAAGCCCTGAAAGAGTGATTTCCAAACCTTGCTGGGCACCTGATTCACCTGTGAGGTCTGTTAGAAAACATATAACAGGATCCCATCCCTAGAGACTGATTTAGTAGAGTGGGGTCCAAAAGAATATAACTTTAATAATTTTCCTGCCTGTTTTGCAAGTGTTTGCTTAAAGGCCTCAGTAAGGCCTTCTCTGATTTAAAATTGCAGCATCTATTTTAAGTTCCAACATCAACGTGACCTAGACTCTCCCTATCCTCCTCCTTCCCTGTTTTATTTTCTACCATGGCACTTACCTTTTATCATACTAGATAATTTACATATTTATTTAGCGCATTGCCTTCTCTACCATTCCACCTCCACCTCTAGAATGTAAGCTCCATGAGAGTAAGGGTTTTGTTTGTTTGTTATGTTCACTGCTATATCCACAGGACCTAGAACAGTGCCTGGTATGTAGTAAACATCAAAAAAAATTTTTTTCAAAGGCTGGCTGAATTTCAGAGGAAGCATAACATAGTAGTTATAGTCATAGACTTGCAATAGACTCAGTGCAAATCTCAGTGTTGACTCACACTGGCTCTGTGACCTCAGGCAAGCTATTTCTACATCTAGGTTTCCTCGTTCATTATGCAAATAACCATGATGCCTACCCAAAGCAGAGAGCCTGTGCTAAATATCACCTCTACCACTCATAAGCACTGTGGCCATTTAAATTGCTCTATGCCTCAGTTTCCTCAACTGTAAACCGATTCACCGCTGTCCGGGAGATGCAGTGAATATCCCCTTCATTTAGTAGCCTGGGAGCCAGAAGCAGAAACCAAGCCTGGCTGAAAGGGTCCAGGAAGCTGGGGTGGAGAGGGGTGGGGTGGCAGGGAGCAACGCTGACTACCGGGAAAGTGATTCCACGTTACAAAGGCCAGTTCCGTGTGGATTCTCTCCTGGGAAAATACCTAGGAGCTTAGGCGGAGAGGAGGAAGGAAAATGGAGAGAAAACTTCCCCTCACCCATCTGGGAAATGGGCTCCTGCCAGCTGCAGACTTCGTGCTCGCTGGCGCTGTTCCCTGCGGAACCCCCGGCGGGGAGGGAGGCTGGGAACATCTGGAGGACGTGGCTGCAGACCAGGGCTCCGGGGAGGGAGAGGTGCACTAGTACGCGCGTGGGGCCGAGAGGGAAGGTATTCCCCAAGGGCCTCGGGCTTGTGTTCCTCGGCCCCTCCCGAAGCCCTTTCTCCCCAGACCCCAGCCTCAGCCCCCAGCCCTCCCGGCCTTCCCCGCTCCGGCCCGCAGCGCCTCTGTCACTGGCGGTCTCGCCTCGCCAGAGGGCACCCTCGATCTGCCGGAAAACGCCATTTTCAGAGCCCCTGGAGCATCTCCAAGCTTCAGCAAGCTGCCCGACTCCAAGCTTGTCAATGAAGAATCGGGGCCAGGATGGCCGCGGAGCTGGACCCAGCCACTCCAAGCCCGCTCCAACCCCAGCGCCACCCTCCAGCGAGGACGGCACGGCCGCGGCTGCCCAGGCCCCGCGCGCTCCCGACCCTGCCCAGAGCCCGGCCTGGCCCGGGAGGGGGCGGCCGGGGAGGGAGCGCAAGACCAGCCCAGCAGAGGACGGACTGACAGCTGGAGAGGGAGAAGGAGTTGCGGGAGAGGAGGGAGGGGATTCACCGGAGTAACTTTCCAGAAAAACAGTCAACGTGTAGCAGGAGTGACTCCAAGAGGAGAAAAAAAGTTCAGTTACCACGTCGAAAGAGAGGACTCGCAAAGTATTTTTCAAACGGGCTCAGCTTTTTCTGTGCCTGGTTAAAACATTAAAACCGTGCAGCAAAAGAGGCTGCGTGCGCTGGTCCCTCCCTCCCCCACCCCGGACCAGAGACGTCATCGGAGGGAGGTATAAAATTTCAGCAGAGAGAAATAGAGAAAGCAGTGTGTGTGCATGTGTGTGTGTGAGAGAGAGGGAGAGGGAGAGGGAGAAGCAGGAGGGAGAGAAAGGGAGGGAAGACGAAAGCCAAGTCCGAGGGAATGAGCAAGGGAGGCGAGAGATAGGGGAAGAAGCATGAGAAAGAAGGAAAAACAGCTTTCCGGAGCAGGCGTGCAGTGAGCTGGCTTCTATTTTATTTTTCTTCTCCTTTTTGATTTTTTAAAGAGAAGCAGGGAACAGAAGCAATGGCCGAGGGAGAAGACAAGCCGAGGTGCTGGTGACCCTGGGCGTCCAAGTGGATTATTGGGGCTGCTCTCCAGGGGCCTGTCCTCCCTGCCTTCCAATTGCACATACCCCCACATCCCAGCCAATGAAGACAAGAGGCAGCGTGAACAAAGTCATTTAGAAAGCCCCCGAGGAAGTGTAAACCAAAGAGAAAGCATGAATGGTGTGCCTGAGAGACAAGTGTGTCCTCCGCTGCCCTCACCTTTAGCTGGGCCATCAGCAGGCCAGCCCTGCCTCTCCCCACCTACTCACTGGTGATCTGAATTTTTTTTTTTTTAAACATTTTTTTTCTTTTCTTTTCCATTCTCTTTTCTTATTCTCTCCTTCAGGGCAAGGCAAGGATTCTGATTTTGGGACCCAAGCCATGGTCCTTCTGCTCCTTCTTTAAAAAACCCACTTTCTCCCCATCGCCAAGCAGCCTTTGGCAATATCAGATATCCGCTCTATTTATTTTTACCTAAGGAAAAACTCCAGCTCCCTTCTTACTCCCAGCTGCCTTGCCACCCCTCCCAGCCCTCTGCCTGCCCTCCACCTGGCCTGCTGGGAGTCAGAGCCCAGCAGAACCTGTTTAGACACATGGAGAAGAAACCCAGAGCTGCAAGGCACACAGTCGGCTTCTTCGTGCTCAGGGTTGCCAGCGCTTCCTGGAAGTCCTGAAGCTCTCGCAGTGCAGTGAGTTCATGCACCTTCTTGCCAAGCCTCAGTCTTCGGGATCTAGGGAGGCTGCCTGGTTTTCCTCCCTCCTTCTGCACGTCCGCTGGGGTCTCCTCCTCGCCAGGCCTCACAGCCCCCCCGGCCTCTCTCCCCGGCTC